GGGCTTGGGCGCTGTCCCTCAGCTCTTCAGCTCAAGGCAAGCGCTCTACCACTTGAGCTACAGCGCCATTTCCAGTTTTCTGGTGGTTTATTGGAGATAGGAGTCTCACGGTCTCTCCTGCCCGGGCTGGCTTTGAACCGCGATCCTCAGATCTCAGCCTCCTGAGTAGCTAGGATTACAGGCGTGAGCCACCAGCGCCCGGCTGAAATGCCTGATTTTGGAGTCCCCGTGTCACCACTCCCTCTAGATTCAGATCAGCCAGGATCCATACCAGCCCTGCCACTTGCTAACAGTTTTCTCTGCCTCCGTTTTCTTACCTATAACAAGAGTCAGAGTGTTTTCCTGAGAGAAAGGGTTGTTTAGACAATCCAAAGAGGTGAGGCAAAGCTCTTAGCACAGAGCCTGGCACATGGTGGCTATTTCACTGAGTGGCAGATGATATCCTACATCCCTTTTCCCCAAGGAAAAAAATGACTTTTAAACATTTAAAAAAGCTTTCATAGACTAACATGTCAGATGAGTGTGCTGTATCTCCTACAGCTCAGTTGGCATAAGTGTTCTGCAGGGGGGCTGTAGCCAGCTGAGCTGGCCTGAGGCTTAGGGGAGCTATAGTGGAGGCATTGTGCTCATTAGGAGCAGGCTCACTGTGCTAGGGTGGGCCAGGCCAGGGGGCCCCAAGGATGGAGCCTCCTGGTCCCCTGCCACATAGCCTACTTGCTCCCGGCTTTCAGGGACCTTGAAGTCCCTGCCCAATTTAGAGTTTAAACTTTACAACTATACAAAGTTGCAGCTTTGGAAGCTTAGAGACATGGGCTTTCGGGACTCTCGGTTTCTTGTCTTATCCCAGGAGGCAGCTATTGGGGTGAAGTGGGCAGAGAGAAGAGGCTGGAAAGAGAATAAGAAGACTGGTCTGTTAGTCCCCAGATGCCTCAGGCTCAGTGGGGCTGGGGGCTCTCCCCCGGGTGTCTGGACTATGGGATAGGTTATCTCCTTTCAGAAGTGCAGGGAGGACCTGGATCTCAGAAAGCTAGTTGCTTGGTAGGGTATGAGACCCCCAAGTACATGTGAGGGACCTGTAAAATCAGGGATCTCCTCAGGCACCTGAGTTTTTCCTACTATGATGTTTCTTCTGGAGTTTTATCCAGGAACAGTGGTCAAAGAGCCCCAAACTAAAAGATTGCTAGCTTTTCTCTCTCTCTCTCTCTCTCTCTCTTTCTTTCTTTCTCTCCTTCTTTTCTTTCTGGGTCCGGTCATGGACCTGAACTCTGGGCCTGGGCGCTGTCCCTCAGCAATTCAGCTCAAAGCTAGCACTCTACCACTTGAGCCACAGCGCCACTTCCGGCTTTTTTCTTTTTGCTTATGTGGTGCTGAGGAATCAAACCCAGGGCCTCAGGCATGCAAGGCAAGCGCTCTACCACTGAGCCACCTTCCCAGACCTAGCTTTTCTTTTTCTATCTGGCTTGCAACAGTGAGAGCTCTTTGGTGCTCTGTGGTTTCCTGGGACAAGCCTGCAACAAGTCAGTATCGCTATCCTGTCCCTACCAGCTACACTCATTTTTCCCGTCCCAGTGTCTGTTGGTGGCATTTCTGTCCATTCACAAGATCCTGAAGGTTGAACATTAGTTCTCAGTCTTCCCTCTCCCCAATCCGTTCCTACAGTCCCAAATACTATACACAATAATATATATTATCCCTCTTATTATACTAGATGTCAACATCTCCCAGTATTTCTCAGCTCTACCTTCTCTACCTTACTAAGTCCCTGACTATGGTACCAGCTTCCTCATCTCCACCACAGGCTGGATCCCTTCTGGTTTCCATTTCTTTCTTTTCTTTTTTTTGGGGGGGAGGGGTTCGGTTGTGGGGCCTGAACTCTGGGCCTGGGTGCTGTCCCTCAGCTCTTCAGCTCAAGGTGAGCACTTTACCACTTGAGCCATAGCACCACTTCTGGCTTTTTCTGCTTATGTGGTGCTGAGGAATTGAACCCATGCATGTAAGGCAAGCACTCTACCACTGAACCATCTTCCCAGCCTCTTGTTTCCATTTCTTAAGATGAATTAATATCACTTTTTTTTTTGCATACTGGAGATTGAATTCAGAGCCTCACACATCTTAGGCAAGTCTCTGCCACTTGAGCCACAGCCCAGGCTAGCTTAGTTTTTAAGGTTCAGACTCATATTCATATTAGAAATATTGGATGATATTGAAAAGAATAATAAAACATTTTAATCCAAGCACACTGTAAACAACAGTTGTTAATAAAGTTTCTCATAGTTTTCCAGAATTTCCCTCCCATTTGTACATATATCCATAAGAAAAATGCTTTTTAAATTAGGAAGGTTCTGAAAACAATAGTTTGTGTTCTGCTTTTTTAAAAAAATTACATTATGGGCTGGGAAGGTGGCTCAGTGGTAGAATGCTTGCCTTGCATGCATGAGGCCCTGGGTTTGATTCCTCAGCACCACATAAGCAGAAAAAGCTGGAAGTGGCGCTGTGGCTCAAATGGTAGAGCGCTAGCCTTGAGCTGAAGAGCTGAGGGACAGTGCCCAGGCCCCATGACCAGCCAAAAAAAAAATTACATTATGAACATTTCCCATCAAATATTCTTCAGAAAATAAGATTTCTAGTACTTGTATAACATCCTATCATTGGATTCTACCAGACTTATTTATGTATACTTCTGTAATTGAACTTAAGACTCATGTGTTTTTGTTACTATAAATCAAGTCATGGTTAATATCCGTATATGTAAATCTTTGGCTGTGCTTCTCATGATTTTCTTAGACTATATCTTAGAAGCAGCAGTGTGGGATGAAAGGTTAAGTTTTCAAGGCTCTCCATTCCTATTTCCAGTTCTCTGCACAGGAAGTCATATTCATTTATTCCCATCTCTATCAGCCATATATGATATTATTTATTCTCCTAATGATAGACATAATAGTGAACAAATCTTCAAGTATCTAGAGGAAGAATGGTATCCAATCAATGACCCCTCTAAAAATAAGCCATGCCCTACTCCCTAGTGCCCCAGGATAAAGTCCACATTTTTGCCTGGAAACCCAAATGGGATTATTCAGCTTCAGCCAGCCTTCGCTCATGCCTGGCCTGAGTGGTGGTGGTGCTTTGGGGCCTTGTGCAGACAGACAAGGAACCAGGCAGAAGTCTTGTAAGATGAACCAAAGGCTCCTGTGCTTGCTTCACCAGCAGCCAGTGGGCAGGAGGGCTGGGCTGCTCTTAGAAGCCACGCCCAGCTCTATCCCATTACACAGATGACACCACTGAGACCAGAGCAGGGCAGGGAGTGGAAGTGCTCTGTGACTGGGTGGGTCCATGTTCACTGTGTGATCCTGAGTTCTCAGGGGAAATCCGGGAAGCGGCTGGGCACCGGGCAGGAGTGGTTGCAGTAGGATCCTAGAGCTGGGGTGAGGAGGGGCAGAACAAGCTCTTCTAAAGCCCGGATTCCAGACAGGAGCTACTGGAAGCTGCAGTTCTGTATCTACTGGGTTGGGGGATGGAGGAAAGAAAGTGCTCCAGACTCTGGGTGTTCTGGATGGTTTGTGTCTTAGGGCCAGATGAGTCTGGAGATCTTGGATTTTTAGTCCTTCTTGATGCCTTTATAGTCACCTCTCGGAGACAGGTTTTGCCTGTCACCTGCAGATCCCATCTACACATATTTGAGCAGGACTCTAGGTTCCATCATATGCACCCTATACCTATGCATCTATTTGGTTAACTTGTGCAATGCCTGGGCTAGGCTAGGGACATTTACACACAGTGGGACTGGATTAGAGTGTTTCTTGTTTTTCTTTTTTCTTTCTTTTCTTGGCATGGGGCCTGAACTCTGGACCTGGGCGCTGTCCCTCAGCTCTTCAGTTCAAGGCTAGCTCTCTACCACTTGAGCCACAGCACCACTTCCAGTTTTCTGGTGGTTAATTGGAGATAAGAGTCTCACAGACGGGGCTAGGAAGGTGGCTCAGTGGTAGAGCGCTTGCCTTGCATGCATGAGGCCCTGGGTTTGATTCCTCAGCACCACATAAGCAAAAAGGAAAAAAACTGGAAGTGGCGCTGTGGCTCAAGTGGTAGAGTGCTAGCCTTGAGCTGAAGAGCTGAGGGACAGCACCCAGGCCCAGAGTTCAGGCCCTATGACAAGACCCCCCCCCCAAAAAAAAGTCTCACAGACTTTCCTATCTGGGCTGGCTTTGAACCACAGATCTCAGCCTCTTGAGTAGCTAGGGTTACAGGCGTGAGCCACCGGTGCCCGGCAACTGTCTCTTATTCTAAGAGTAAAACCAGAAATACAGAACACACGGGTCACAGAGATGAGGAAAGCTCTGTGTGTGTGTGTGTGTGTGTGTGTGTGTGTGTGTGTGTGTGTGTGTGTGTGTGTGTGTGTGTGTGTGTGAAGAGAGAGAGAGAGAGAGAGAGAGAGAGAGACTTCCTGCTGAAGGTGGTATGAGGCTGTGCCTGAAAGGCTAGCTAGGCACTGTGTGCTGGGAGAAGCTGCTGACTTGTGGGTAAAATCCAAGGAGAGCTCAGAGCCAGGCAGTGCCAGGAAGGGCGAGGCTCCCATTTGGTGCGTGGCTATGAGATGGGGGTACAGAAGATGGGGGGCAGACAGAGCCAACTGTGAGGCCTTGAAAGCTCTGCTGAGGAACAGTTACTTTGTCCTAAGGGCAGTAGGGAGCCATTTACAATTTCAGTCAGAAGAGTGATGCAATCACATGTGCTTTTCCAAACCAGCCATCTGGATGCCTCATGGGGGAAGAGGCTGGGAAGAGGAGCAAGACTTAAGTCCTGAGACCAGGCTGGAAGCTGCTGTGAAGGCCCGGGGAAGGATGAGGGGTGTGGGCCTGTACCAAGGCAGAGCAGAAGCAGAGCATAATTTGTGAGCAGATTACTAGGATTTGGCGCTGCCTTTCAGGAATGAAGGTATTATCTAGCCCCTGCCCTGCTCTACATTGGCATCTGATGGCCTTACCTATTGCCAAGACCTGGCCCCCTTACCTACAGGCTTGTCTGCTGTCCCATACCCTCCTGGCCGCGTCCTTTACCTCCTTGTTCCTCAGACTATAGATGATGGGGTTCAACATGGGTGTCACTATGGCATAGAGGACTGTGAAGACCTCGTCAGAGATGTGGGCCTCCTTGCTCTTGGGTTTCATATACATGAAGATGACAGTGCCATAGAAAAGCAACACCACCGCCAGATGTGCTGAGCAGGTGGAGAAGGCTTTGCGGCGCCCGGCAGCAGAGGGAACCCTCAAGATACTGGCCAGGATCAGCGCATAGGAGAAGCAGATGAGGGCCAGGGGCACAGGCAGCAGCAGGATGGAGCCTACCAACAGGAAGACCTCACTGATGGATGTGTCACCACAGGCCAGCTTCAACACGGCCAGGATCTCACAGGTGAAGTGTCTGACAATGTGGTGACTGCAGAAGGGCAATCTCATGGCAATGATGGTCTCCGTCACAGACTTGAGGAGGCAGAGCGCCCAGGCAGTTCCTGCTAGCAATAAGCAGAGCCGGTGGTTCATGAGTACAGGATACCTGAGTGGCTGGCAAATGGCCAGGTAGCGGTCGTAGGCCATGATGGCAAGCAGCAGGCACTCTGTGGAGCCTGTGGCTAGGCTCAGACACATCTGGATGGCACAGGCAGTGAAGGAGATGGTCTTCCTGGATGACAGAAGGTGGGCCAGCATCAGGGGCACAAAGGAGGATGTGTAGCAGATGTCCAGGATGGAGAGATTGCCCAGGAAGAAGTACATGGGTGTGTGCAGGCGGGTGTCTAGCATGCTTACCACCACGATGGCTGTGTTCCCCAGCAGGGTCACTAGGTACATGCCTGAGCACAGAGGAAACAGTAGATGCTCCAGGAGTGGGTAGCCAGAAAATCCTTTCAGGAAGAACTCAGAGACTCCTGTCTTGTTAATGGGCTCCATGCTGCAGGCTCTGGAGGGGAATGCCTCTGGAATGGAAGGAGAGAGGACAAATCCTTTTTCTCTTCTTTGGCCATTGTTTATCCATGCAAAGAAGGAAGACTGATTTAGGTTAGCATTTTCCTGAGAGACTGTGAAGAGAGGTGTGAATAGACAATTTGAAAAATCACTTTGGAGGCAATACTGAACAAGTACAAAATAAAGGTCTTTACATGAATGAGGGCATTTACTATAGGACTTCTCAGAGCCTTTAGGAGGCTAATGTGACTTGTGATTCTCTAAAAGCAAAATAGATCAAACCTCCCCAGATCTGGGTCCCTCTTTCATTGAATACCCCCTAACTGACTGCAGACAAGTGGTCTATGAACCTAGTCTGGGAACCGATGGTCAGGACCAGAGGGCTTCTAACTTGAACACACACCAGTGATGACCTGTTGAAAATACAGATTGTTCCACCCCAAGTTTTCAACTCAGGTCTGGCTGCTGCTGCTGCTGCTGCTGGCAGCCCAGGTACCACACACTGAGGACTCTTGGGCTAGAAGTCTCTGGTCATCCTCGCTTGAGGCAACCTCTGGGCCATTGGCTTAGACTATTTCTTCTATCTAGACTGTCTTTACCCCTCAGCTGTGAAAGTCTCTTCCGGCTAGCTCTGGTGTCTGTGTACAAAGCATGCACTGTGCCTTGTGTCAGAGGGGTTGCTGAACTCTAAGCCTGTGAGTGGTAAGACCTCTGCCCCATAGGGCCTGCTTCATCAGATACTTAGTATGTGGGTTGAATCTCCAGAATCTACCTTCAGTGGAGGCTTTCTAGCTAGAAACTCTCAGACCTGGTGACCAAGCTGCAAGCCCAGAGCCAGGGCTGCTTTGGCTGCATGAATGCTGATGGCATTAGCATGGAACATGCTCTGGGAGGTCATTTGTTGGGTATTCCAAGGTGAAGGTGGGAAAACAGAGGTTCGATGGTAGGTCTCTGGGAGGGGAGTCTCAATCCTCTGCTCCCAGTGTTCTGACACCCACCCCAAGCTTCCATCAAGGCCCAAACCTAACTGTTCTAGAGACATCCTTCTGTCCTTTCCACAATCCTCTCACCATTGGAGGACCAGAAAGCAACCACTCTTCAAGGTTTCTGGGTACCTGTGGCAGTGCCATTGATCCTGTGGGACAGACACAGTGCCAGAGCTTGGACCTGCGCCGAGCACCACTTAGCTACTCACGCCAGCCCATTTCCTTCTTTTATTCCCTCCTCCTCCTTTCCTTGTATTCCAAAATGAAGAAGTGATTAAGGATCTCCTGTATGCCAGGCATTGTACTTGGGGAACAAGTGAGGATAGGGATGATCATTGGCCATTGAATACCAACCTTTTCCAGGCAGAAATCCTCTTCACGGTTTCATATCCAGCCCCATTCTGTTCCTGTCTGCACATCCCTAGTGCCAGGAAGCCCTCCTGTATGTATCCAAACTTCTCATCTCTACCTTTTGCTTACAGATGACTTAAAGGATCACAGAGGGCCTCTACCATCCCTCCCATGTTCAGTCTGGCTGGCCTCTGTGGATATTCCTTCCTCTCAGTGTGAATGCAGGGTTCAGAGCTAAGCCCCACCCCAGCCCTACACCTGAGACTCAAGGGCCATTTCTGCAGCAAGGAGACTTCTGACCTCTAACCTTATCCTGGGCCCTCGGATGAAGGTCTGGCCTCAAGTTGACTGTGTTTAGGGACACCACGGGGTTCAGGGGGAATGGAAGCTGCAAGCTCCCTCCATGACTCAGCAGGGAAACTTGGAGGGTGGGTTTCTGGGTGAGGGTATCCCTTCTAACAGTGCTAACAGAGTCAGACACTGGTAGGCAGTGTCACAATCCTTTCCTTGCAGTCCCAGTGAATGAAGCCACAGCCACTTGTTTGTGTGGCTCTGTATACTACTATTCAATCCCTGTAATGGCCAAGAAATGTGAAGATCCACAGCTATTGGCTCACCACACATGGACATCTACGTTGAATGTATAAACTCCTGGTCAACACACAAGCATACTCACATACATGCTTGTGAGTGTCTATACCACACATAGGTTCATGTGTGGGTGTTTGCACGAGTGTATGTGCATAGAGCCCCCTTACTCCCACCACCAGAACACAGCAGACCCTTGGGCCAGGGTGTTTCAAGGGCAAGACAGAATCACTTAATTTATGGGAGAAGATTATAGCCAGGCAAGGGACACAGGAATCACAGGTTTAATGGAATAGCCCTAGGCTGTAGATCGAAGTCTGTTGGGATGGATCTAGAAGAACAAAGGAGCCCCAGAGTAGGGGCAAGATAACCAAACCAGCTCAGTGCCCTGCCTGTTTGCTTCCCAATGCTGCTTCGAAAGGATGAATCTCACCTGCACCTTCTCTTTCTTGAGCTGGGGGGAGAGGATAAAGGAAGAAGCTAAAGGAAGAGAAGAGGGGGAGGAGGGGGAAGTGGGAGAGGAGGAGAGCTGCTGGGCCAGGGAACTGTGCCTGCAGAGCCCACAGTGTCCTTTCTGCCCTCCCCTCTTCTCCTGGCCAAATGCTACCTAAAACCCAGTTCAAATGCTGCCTGCCCCAGGGAGCTTCCTTTCTCCTCTCCAGGCCATCCTGAATCTTACTCCTTTGTACTCTGTGTCTTGCGCTCACCTCTTTACTCACCTCCTGCCTGTTGCTAATGCCTGCCAAGTCACAGGATGTCATCTCCTTGTGCTAGTCTCTCAGGTTCTGAAGCCCCAAATGAGGTCCCAGCTTGGCCCCAGCCAACTTCTTCTATCTTAACTGTAACTTCCAGGGACTATGGTAATTTGAATGGGCAGCTGCTAAACACGGGCTGTTTCTGGCCTAGATGACACCCTGGGAGAAGTGGGAGGTGTCTGACAGATCAGGGGGAAACCACTGTCTTGTTATATATAGGGAAACTGAGGCCCAGACAGAGGCAGGGACTTACCTAATGTAGCTCAGTAAATTTCATCCCCAGTTCTTACTGCATTCAGGCTCTTTTGATCCTTATCTCTGGCTTCCTGGATGATGCCTCAGAGGGTTTGAGGATGTGGACCTCCTCTGGGTGGAGCTAGGGGACACAGGCCCAAAGCAGCCCTGGGCCGCCTCCTCTATGCAAGGAATCCTGTGAAGTAGGACTGGGGCATCTGGTCTCCAGCCTTGCTTTCCAAACTAGGAAAAGATTCCTAGACTTCTGTGGATTCATGAAGTCTTTGAAACATGATCGAATTAAGTGTAGCTTGTAGACTTTGGCCGAATCATTCCAATGTATTGGATTGGGTAGAACTTGGAAATATAGTAGCACACTCAGGCTGAGGAGAGTCGGTAGCAATTTACGTGGGACAGCAGTGACTCCCGAGCCTCGGCAGTGTCTACATCATCCTAGCCAATGCCTCCAGTGTCAGGGGAAGCGGGCAGCAAAGGAGAGGGAACTTTTCAAAGTTCCCTGTGTACCCAGAGACTACCAAATCCCTAAGGCCATTTAGAACAAGAAGAGGAACCACACCCAGTTTAGAAACTTTGTGGGTGCTTCAGGGATGATGTCCCAAAGACCCAATTACACAGTCTATTTAGACATTTTAATTGGCATGGAAAAGTTGGAGAAAGAAGCTCAGGGCCAGGGAATCAACTTCTCAGGCTAGACTCCAAGCAAGCTGGCCCAGTAATGTTTGTGGAATGAATACATAAGTGGTAGACAGTCAGTTAAATGAATGCATAGGCCATTTTTCAATGATTATATTTAAAAATAAACAAATGAGTGGATAGATAGAGTTGCTTTCCAGGTGGGAAGTGAGTGGTCATAGGTCAGTTCTTGTAGGATCTTATGAAAGAAGATGACAAAATCCTAGAGTATCAGAGCAGGCCAATCTGGCCAATCTTTGTTGTGCTAACAGAAGATGGGTGTCTCTAAAGGGGGTCAAAGCCAGCTCTGCATCACTTGGTGAAACGTAGTCCTTGTTTGCTGACTCTGATTTGTCCACCTTTGGACCAAACCTCCCATGGTCAGTGCTGAGCTGGTTTTCCTTGGTCATTGACTGGCTTGCTTCCTGTTTCCCCTGGATCCCTCTTCCCATTGCTCAGAATATCCATCCTGCTGCTTCCTCCTTGAAGTTCCTGCTAGTCTTCAGAGTCCAAAGCTCTGTAGCCGTAGGGACATCATTAAAACAGTTCTTAGGACTGGAAGGCGTAGCTCATGCTAGAGTACTTGCCCAGCAGGCACAGGACCTGGGCTTATCTTCAGCACTGCCAAAAGAAATCACATTTTTGGATTAAGTATTGTTTTTAGAGTTTTATTTAACAATTTTTAAATCATAAGTAATTTTATTTTATTTTTTTTGTCGGCCGTGGGGCTTGAATTCTGGGTGTGGGCGCTGTCCCTCAGCTCTTCAGCTCAAGGCTAGTGCTCTACCACTTGAGCCACAGCACCACTTCCACCTTTTTCTGCTTATGTGGTGCTGAAGAATTGAACCCAGGGCCTCATGCATGCAAGGCAAACACTCTACCACTGAGCCATCTTCCCAGCCCCTTTATTAGCTTTTTTGTTGTTGTTGTTGGTCCTAGGGCTTGAACTCAGGGCCTGGGCTCTGTCCTTGAGCCTCTTTTTGCTCAAGGCTAGTGCTCTATCACTTGAACCACAGAGCCACTTCTGGCTTTTTCAGAGTAATTTATTGGAGATAGAAGTCTCATGGACTTTTTTGCTCAGGCTGACTTTGAACCATGATGCTCAGATCTCAGCCTTCTGAGCAGCTAGGATTACAAGTGTGAACCACCAGTACCTGGCCAACTTTCATTTTTTGTGTGTGTGTGTGCCAGCATTGGAGCTTGAACTCAGGGCCTGGACATTGTCCCTGAACTTTATCACTCAGGGTTAGCACTCTACCAATTGAACCATGGCTCCACTTCAGGCTTCTTGGTAGTTAATTGGAAATAAGAGTCTCATGGACTTTCTTGCCCAGGCTGGTTTTGAACCTAGATCCTTAGGTCTCAGCCTCCTAAGTAG